TAATTTGAGGCCTAAAATACCAATATTCTGGAGTCACCTTAATCTCATTTGAGTGATTTGAGGTGACGTACTTGGACAGGCTGGTCTCCTTCTTGTCTACTGTTATTCCTGGAGTCGGGACCCATCTCCGAATTCGGTTTGCCACCACGTCCAGCTCACAGACATGCAAAGGCGACAAAAGCACCGGGCCTCTCAACTGCCTCTTCCAGGACCGGCAGTCACCTCAAGAGGAAAGCATTTCTGGATGTCGGGCTCACCTCTCTCTCGGCTTGGATTTCTTTCCTTCCTCCAATGCCTTTATAAGCAGCTATTTTCTGTATGTCTGGCTTTTAATTGCCTACAGGCAGTGTGATTTATTAGGGTGGTCTCCCATGACCGATGTCTGATTTACATTTTGACAGATTATTTTTTAGAAGATAAGGGAGCAAGGCGGATGCAGCTTCCACATGGGAGACAATGGCAATAATTCCCTGCGGTGAGGGAGGCTGGTGGCTTGGGCCAGGTGGTGCTTGTCTAGGTGAAGAGAAATATCCAAATCGGGGTATATTTTGAAGGTATAACTAACTGGCAGGATTTTATTAGTGGATTGGTATGGGGTGGCGGCTGTCACCAGTCAAGGATGACCCCAAGGTTTGTGGCCCAGGCAAAGGAGAAAACTGCATTGTCCTCTTCCAAGGCAGAGAAGACTAGGGGAGAAGCCATCTGGGGGCAGAGGCGGGAGGGACGCAGAGGTTTAGTGTAGGTCACCCACCCAGGGGAGGCGTACGGTGGGTGGATGGTGACACAGTGTCTGGAATTTAGGGGAGGGGACTGGGCTAGAGAGACAATTTGAGGATCATCAGCATAGAGGTGAAGTTTTAAGCCCTGAGCTGGATAAGCTTGTCCGGGAGAGGGCACACCTGCCCTGGGACAGAGGGCTGGGCCCAGGGCCTCTGGCATGGAGAGGTCAGGGCAGTGGGAGGAGAACCAGAGCACAGCTGGCTGGGGGCGTGTCTCCAGGAAGCCGGAGGCAGAAAACGCTCCAGGGGGAAGGAGCAGTAGGTCAGGAGAAATGAGGTCTTTGTCTGCGATGGAAATTTTTAAATATTCTTCTTAGTTTGTCTTTTGACTTTATGGTGTTTTATTCTTATTGAAAGAAATTGTGTTTCTCTGTTCCCGAGTATAACAAGCTTAGTTGTTTCATGCTTCTGGCTTTGTGCCCTCTTTTCCATTCCAAGATCATGTGGATCCCTTGTGGCACCTGTGTGTGTCCATGTGTTGGCCCAGAGCAGGGACATGTGGCTCAGGGGAGGGTGTGAATGCAGGAGGGAGTGGCCAAGCCAAGGGGCTCAACCTGAGGGAGGTGCTGGGGTCAGAGGTCCCACAGGGTAGAGGACAAGGACACATGTCCACTCCCTCTCTGAGCTTTGGTTTCCCAACCTGTAACCAGGCTTTCACTGCTGGCTTCCCAGAAGTTCTGGGGAGGATTCCTGGGTGTAAGGGAAGAGGCAGCCCATGCTGAGCTGGGCAGGGCTGTGTCCCAGGGATAAGGTCATTTCCAACACCATTTCCGAGGCCAGTATGACTGCATCTCGAAGCTGAAGGGTCTACCTCCTTGCTGCCCATGGATAGATGGGGAGACTGAGGCCAGAGAGCACTCCCATGAACACTGGGCTCTGGGAGAGGTTGTGGGACTCATCAGCCCAAGCCCCAAGATCTGATGGCAAGGGAAGGAGCCTGGGGTCACTTGAAAAAGTCCAATCTTTTTTTTTTTAATTGTATGACATTTGTTTTCTTTGCCTTATTTCAGCAAAATAAAATTATCACATAATTTGTGTTCTTCTGACAGTGTTTTCAGGTAGATAGCCTTTAGTAAATTTGTTTCTTATATCATTCTTTTCTTTTTTTAATTATATTTTATTGGTTATGCATTTGCAATTGTCCCCATTTTTATTCCTTTGCCCCCCTCCATTCAGAACCCCCCACTCCCTCAGGTAATCCCCACACCTTTCATGGTCATCCATGTAAGTTCTTTGGCTTGTCCACTTCATATGCTGCTGTATGTACTTTCCATCCCCATGACTGTTCTGTCACCACCAATCTGTGCTTCTTAACCCCTTCCCCTCTTCACCCATCCCTCCAATCCCCCTCTCATCTGGCTGCCATCTAACTGTTCTCCATAATTTTGCTCCTGTTCTGCTTATTTGCTTAGCTTGTTTTTAGACTCAATTGTTGATAGGTATGTGTTTATTGCCACTTTATTGTTCATAGTTTTGATCTTCTTTTTCTTCAATAAGTCTTTTTAACATTTCATATAATAATGGTCTGGTGTTGATGGACTCCTTTAGTTTTTTCTTGTCTGGGAAGTTCTTTAACTACCTTTGGATTGCTGGGTAGACTAATCTTGGTTGTAGGTCTTTGCTTTTCATGACTTTGAGTATTCCTTGCCAATCTCTTCTAGCTGCAAAGTTTCTTTTCAGAAATCAGCTGATGGTCTTAGGGGAACTCCCTTGTAGGTAACTACCTGCTTTTCTTTTGCTGCTTTTAAGATTCTCTCTTTATCTTTAACCTTTGGCACTTTGATTGATATGTCTTGGTGTGGGCCTCTTTGCATCCATTTTGTTTGGGACTCTCTGTGCTTCCTGAACTTGTGTGTTTATTTCCTTCACCAAATTAGGTAAGTTTCCTTTCTTTTCTTTCTTTTTTTTTTTTTTTTTCAAAAAGATTTCCAATTTCTTGCTCTTTCTCTTCTCCTTCTGGCACCCCTATGATGCAAATGTTGATATGCTTGAAATTGTCCCAGAGGGTCCTTACACTATCCTCATTTTTCTGATTCTTTTTTCTTCTTGTTGTTCTAGTAGGTTGTTTTTTTGCCTCCTCCTGTTCCAAATCATTGATCTGAATCTCAGCTTCATCCACTCCACTGTTAATACTTCTCTGTAAATTACTCTTTATTTCAGTTAGCATCTCCTTTATTTCTGACTGGATCTTTTTTATGCTGCTGAGGTCCTCACTAAGTTCCTCAAGCATCCTTATAACCCATGTTTTGAACTCTGCATCTGAAAGATTGCTTAACTCTACTTTGTTTAGTTCTTTTTCTGGAATCTTTTTCTGTTCTTTCATTGGGGCCATATTTCTTTGTCTCCTCATTTTGGCTGCCCCCCTGTGTTTATCTCTATGTGTCATGTAGAGCTGTTTTAACACCCTGTCTTGGTAGTATGGCCTAATGTAGTAGATGTCCTGTAGGGTCCAGTGGCACAGCCTCCCCTATCACCCAGGCTGGGTACTCAAGGTGTGCCCATTGTGTGGGCTGAGTACACCCTCCTCTTGTAGTTGAGCCTTGATAGCTGTTGGCAGGTCAATGAGAGAGATTTACTCAGGCCAGTCAGCTGCCAGGACTGGCTGTGATCATTGACCACCAACCTCTGCCCTCCACAGAGGATCAGCTGTGCAGGGACTCACTCTACAGAGCAGGGCTTTCTTCAGCCCAGCTCTGGTACCCCCTTTTGTCCTGTCTGGGGCCACTTGGTATAAGCTATAAAGCGATCAGCAGCTGGCTGCTTCTTGTGATGGGCCTGGAGGTGCCCTAGTGAGGCCAGGCTGGGAACCAAGGCCAGCTGCTGCTAGTGGGAGCAAGTGCCAAGCCAAGTCATTTCTATGGAAAAGCCAGTTAACACTTGGGTGGGTCCCTAAGTTGGGTGGGGCAGATTCTCAGGGAATCATCAGGGCTGGGCAAACACTGTGAGCCAGGTTGTTGGAGTCTCAGGTATGGTGTGTGCTGTGCTCTGTGGCATGAGGGCTTAGAGAAGGAGCAATCGCCTCTGTCAGCCCTTCTGGGGACTCACCCTGATACCAGACACTGCAGTTCCTCCTTGTATGCCACCGGTGCCTTTCAAGCTGCTGCCCCAGTGCTGGAGCTCAGAGGGAGTGAGCCTGTGCATGGGCCCTTTAAGAGGAACTGCCTGGGACTCCAGAAGTTTCCTCCACTGACTCAATCTCCATTGGTTTTCACAGCCAGAAGCCACAGGGACTTATCTTCCTGGCACTGGAACCCTGGTCTGGGGGGCCTTGTGTGCAACTAGAACCCCTTGCTTCTCAGATATTCCTCCAGATTTTTATTGGCCACATGTGGGTGTGGGACCAGCCCATGCCGCGTCTCTTGCCAGTCTGGATGGATGTGCTTTCTTCTTTAATTCTGTGGTGGCAGGATCTCCATTCAACCTGATTTCTGCTGGTTCGGAGGGATGGCTGTTCTACAGTTTAGTTGTAATTTTCATGTGATTGTATGAGGAGGTGAGCAGTGCTTGCCTAGGCCGCCATCTTGGAGATCTAGCTCTTCTATCATTCTTTATTAATTTCAATTTGGATAAACTTCACACTACGGCAGTAGCATCCAAGTTTCCATAGCTGCAGACAGAGGTCTGAACCTTAGCACCACAAGGGCAGAGTAAGGACGGTGGGCCAGACACAGAAGATCAGCAGGGTGGAAAGCCCCAGGGGTCTAGCAACGGGCCAAACTGGGGAAACGAATGTTACTCGCCCCCGGGGTAACCTTTTCTCCTTTAGCAAATCCACAAGTCATGCAGTTCGGACTGTCCCCTTCATGCACAGAAGACACCCAGGAAAAGGGAGTTACTCCAAAAAAGTCCAGTCTTAAAGGGGCTGGAGTTCGTGTGTCCCCAGTGAGATGGGTAATGGTGGCTGCCCAGGCTGGGCTCCCGGGACTGCTGGGAGGACCTAGGGGTAAGTGGCAAGAGAAAAACTTTGCATATTGAGAAGCATCTCATGTATGGCAGGGGCCGTTCCCATGGCACCGCAGTTTGCAGTCTTCAGAGTTCTATGGATCCGTGAGTGGCTGGATTCAATGGGGCAGCCTGGTCTGTTCTCCAATGGTTTGGTGGCAATAGACAGGCCACCTACCTGTCATCGTTCCCCAGTGATTGCCAGTTGAGCAAGCCCAGGTGCAGGGGGCTGGGGCACAGGGGCCAGGCCCCTCCCTCACTCTGTGCCATGCCTTCTAGAGACATTCTCCAGCAGCAGGGCTCACCCGTGGATGCCACCATCGCGGCTCTCATCTGCACCAGTGTTGTCAACCCCCAGAGCATGGGCCTGGGCGGGGGGGTCATCTTCACCATCTACAATGCGACCACAGGTGCATCCATACGGGCCCCCCATGGGGAGGATGGGCTTGTCCGCAAGCGCAAGTATCTGGCTGAACCTGTTCCATCTGCCCACGCCCCTTCCTGGGTCTTCTTGGTACCCCTGCTATCTCCCCACCCCCCTTCACCTTCACGGCAGGTCCTATCCTGAGTAGAGGATTCTCAGAGAGTTGATTCTCAATTCACGACACGGGGAGGGAGACCTAGGGTGAGGGACACCTGAGGAGGACCATGGTACGGGCCGAGGCTGGGCAGCCATGGGAGTGCCCCTGGCCACTTTCTTCCCCTGCCCTGACTCCAGGGAAGGCGGAGGTCATCAATGCCAGGGAGACGGTGCCTGCCAGCCATAACCTGGATATGCTGGACCAGTGTGAACACGCCCAACCACTGGGCACAGGTGAGACCCCAGGAAGGGCCACTGGAGCTGACCAGAACACCCCCTGGAGGGGAAAAAGGCTTCATGGACAGGCTGAGACACTTGGGCACCGGGGGACAGCAGCTGGGGGATGGGGAGCCCCCACAGAGGTCCTCACACACTGTGGTTGGGGAGTATCGGGGGAGGAGCTCCGAGTAGGGAGGCGGAGCTAAACAGAGGCACCAGCCCAGGCAAAGGCTGGGGGGTTCAGTGGAGAGGGGTGTGGGGCTGGGGGAGACCTGGGTCCGGTCTGTGCTGTGGACTTTGCACAGAGGGCAGTGAGCAGCCAGGGGCATTCGGTAGGGAGGGACATAGTCAGGAGTGGGCTCCAGAAAGCCCACTCGGGCTGCCACGGCTAGGGTGTGAGGCTGGTGGGGCCCAGTGTGGGGGTGATGGAGAACCTGGGGCAGGCCTGGAGCCAGGGGACTGCAGGCCCAGTGTGGGGGGCATGGGGGCAGGAGCATGACGCCGCCACGCCCTGCAGGGACCCTGTGGATAGGCGTGCCCGGGGAGCTCCGTGGCTACGCCGAGGCCCACCGCCGCCACGGCCACCTGCCCTGGGCGCAGCTGTTCCAGCCCACCATCAAGCTGCTCCGCGGGGACTACCGCACACCCTCCGTCCTCAGTCAGTTCCTGAACAACAGCTTGCTGCGCCGTTTCTTGCTGGCCTCCTCCCTGAAGTGAGCGGCTGCCCTGGGGTGGGGTGGGGGGTTGGGTTCAGGGACCCTTTCTCAGCTCCTGGGGTCAGGCCACAGTCTGTCTGAGCCCAGCCCCCATCCCAGCTCCACCTGGGCCCCTAGAAGACTGACCCTCTGAGGTTCGGGGGGACCTTAAACAGCCAGTACTTTGCTGTCTCAGTTCTCACCTCTGGGCTCCATGTGGCAAAACCTAATGGGAGGGGCTCAGGCTGGAGGGAGTTCGTGCCCAAGTGACAGGACCCCAAGGCCATGGATTTGGGCTCCACCGATGCCCTCTAGCTCTGGCCTCCTTCTCACGCTCTCTGGGATGGCAGGAGGGCTTTGGCCACCCCTTGCCCACCTTTCCAGCCCGCTGGCCAGGGCCTCCTGGGAGTATGGGGAGGACCTGAGTGGACACAGGCCTGACTGGGGAGCGCGTCCTCCCTGGGCAGGGTGACGAGTCAGGTGAGAGGTGCCCACCCCACGCAGTCCTACGGAGTCTGTCCCCTGGATGTCCACCCCAGCCCCTCAGGACCCCGGACTACGCTGCTCCCGTGTGGGGCCCCAAGGACCCTGAGAGGGCCCTGCAGGCTACCCCCCGGGCCCCAGGCCCACCCTGACACTGCCCCTACCCCCAGGCAGCTCTTCTTCAATGGGACACAGCCCCTGCAGGCTCAGGACCCTTTCCCCTGGCCCGCATTGGCTGACACGCTGGAGACAGTGGCCAGGGAAGGCGCAGAGGTCTTCTACTCAGGGAAGCTGGGCCAGACGCTGCTGGAGGACATTGCCAAGCAAGGTGAGCCACACCGAGGCCCAAAGCCTCCCCCCGCCCCCTGCTAGAGAAAGTATCAGGCCCCGGACATGGGTTCTTGGGGCAGGCTCTTCCCTAGGCCTTGAGGACGTGCCGACTGCTCCCAGGGGGTGGAGAGGCTGTGTGCCACGACCAGCCTCAGGGACCCTGCTGTCACCGTCCTCAAGGAGCAGAGTCCTCGCGGTTTAGGACCAACAGAGGAGAGTTATTTGTGGCCATGGGGGGGTGGGGGGGGTCCTGGGCCTACAGCTGGCAGCCCTCACAGTCTCCGGAGCCCAGCTCGCCGCTCCCACCTCCCCCCACCTGCCTGCTCTGACCCCCCCACCTGGCCCTGGGGCCGAGCCCTGATGCCACTGCTCACAGAACCGCCCTCACCTCTCTGCGTCTGGACTGTTAGGGGACAAGGGGAGGCCCACTATGTGACCAGTGGCTGTCACTCTCCATCCGCTTCCCCATCTGTACATGGAGGCTTCTCCATCTCCCTCCAGGCAGCAACCTGACCATGCGGGACCTGGCAGCATTCCAGCCGGAGGTGGTGGACGCCCTGGCCATGCCTCTGGGGAACTTCACCCTGTACTCCCCGCCTGCGCCTGCAGGGGGTGCACTTCTCAGCCTCGTCCTCCGCGTGCTAGAAGGTGAGGCTCCGGCCTTCCTGCCCAGTCCCGCCCTGCTGGGCCCCTGAACTCCAAGCCCAGCCGTGCCCTTGGGCAGCCATTGCCTTTTCCAGCTCAGCCCCTTGTCAGATGCCAAAGACAGGGCCGTGGCAAATGGGTTGGGACAGGGTGTTCTAGGGCTGGCCTAGGGTCTCCACCACAGGGTCTGCACTCACCCACCCACTGGGAGTCCTCCCCACAGGTGGTGAGCCCAGGGTCCAGCAGCAGGTGGGCTCCACAGGTGGAGAGCTGCCCGCCTATTGCGCGCATCCTGCGGGCCGGCCTGGCCTACGGAAGCCTGCGGGGTGGTGGGGGTCCAGGCAGTGTCCGGGGCTGGGCTGCCCGAGGCCGTTTGTTTCCTTGGGGCTGTAGCAACTAAAGACGCCAAACCAAGGGGCTTCGAATGACAGACACGTGTTCTCTCATAGTTCTAGAGGCCAGAAGTTCAAAACCAGGGGGCCAGCCAGGCCACTTCTCCTCTGGGAGCTCTGGGGGCTCCGAGGCCCCTTTGTCTGCCTCTTCCGGCTTCTGCCCCGGCCGGCGCCCCCAGGCTCACGGCTGCGTCGCTCTGGTCTCTGTCTCCGGGGTCGCAGGGCCTCCTCCCCTCCTCTGTGTGTGCCTGGTTTAGACGGTTACACGTGATCATGTTTAGAGCCCGCCCAGTTATACCCAGGATAATCGCTCCTCTTAAGATCCTTAATTTAATCACACATTTTGCTATAAAAGGTAATATTCACTCCTTTGCCATATGTGGCAGTGTTTGCAGGTTCTAGGGACTAAGACATGGACAAATCTTTTTTTGGGGGGTGGGTCAAACATTCAACCCACTCCCAGGGTGACCCCCACCCGCGCCCACCCCCTCCGCAGGGTTTAACTTTTCTGCGAAGTCAGTTGCCAGTTCTGAGGGGAGTGTGGACTTGTACCATCGCCTCGTGGAAACGCTCAAGTTTGCCAGAGGGCTGAGGTGGCGGCTGTGGGACCCTCGAAGTCACCCGGAAGTGCAGGTGAAGAGGCCCGGGCAGCCCAGGGCTCAGCGTGAAGGGAGGGTTGGCCAGTGGGTGCTGGGTCCATGAGCCCGAGATCCTGGCCGGGTGAGGCTGGAGGGCTGTGTACGCGCTTGGTTCTAGAACAGGACAGCCCAGGGCAGGGAGGGGTCAGCAGGCCTGGGCACTGGAAGAGTCAGACGTGAGGGGTGGCACCAAGTCTCAGAGGACCTGGAAGGTGGGCGGGTGTCTTCGGGGCTCAAGGGAGAACAGACTGGAGAGGGTCCATTCATGCCCCCATTTACCTTGCCAACTAACCGCCCACCCCAGAACAGCTCCGGGGAGCTGCTGGGGGAGGCTCTGGCCCAGCACATCCGCCAGAAGATCGACGCCCGGGGTGACCACCAGCTCAGCCACTACAACCTGGGTGGGACCCAGAGCCACGGAACGGGCACGGCCCACGTGTCTGTGCTGGGGGAGGACGGCAGCGCCGTGGCTGCCACCAGCACCATCAACACCCCGTGCGTGCATGTGCCCCGCGGGCAGGCAGGCCACCCCCACTCCTCTGCCTCCGGGACCTGAGTCCCCCTCCCACGCCTGTTCCTCCGCCCAAGCTGGTCTCCCAACCCCTGGCCTCTTCTTGGTTGTCTCCATGGGGCAGCACCTTGCTTTTCCTGCTGTTTTCTCCTCTCTGTCAAAGGGGTTCTACACCCCTCATAGCTCTGCTGACAAGGCTGGCCACGGGTGGCCCTGAGCCAGGACGCACCAAGGGATGGGCCTTACCCAGAGGATGGCCTGACTGGGGCACACGGGTGGGTCTTCGGGGACGGTGCCAGGGAGAAAACGGCAGCCGTGGCATGCTGGAGGGCTGCCACTGAAGTGAGGGGCTCCTGCAAGGCTGGGGAGCGGGCCTCCACGCCAGGTGTGGGCCACAGGGGCCTGCAGCCTAAGCCTGGGCTCCGCGTCTGCCTCCGCAGCTTCGGGGCGATGGTGTACTCACCGCGGACAGGCATCCTCCTCAACAATGAGCTCCTGGACCTCTGCTGGAGGCGCCGGCCTGGCTCCGCGGTGGCCCCCCGACCGGGTGAGTGCGGGGCCCCTCTGGGGAGCGGGGCAGGGTGCGTGCAGCATGGAGGCTCCCAGAGCAGCCACCCCACGCCACCTGGCCGCATTCGTGAGGTGCGAGTGGAGACGGAGATGGAGGGGCAGCCCTGGGGACTCTGGCTGCCGGTGACACCCATCTGGGCTCCAGTTCCAGGTGAGCGGCCCCCATCATCTATGGTCCCTTCCATCCTGGTCAACGCAGCGCAGGGGTCGAAGCTGGTGATCGGAGGGGCTGGTGGGGAGCTCATCATCTCTGCTGTGGCCCAGGTGAGTCGGGGGGCTCCTGGCTGGAACGTCCCCACTCCGGGCAACCTTGCTGTCCTGCTCTCCTGCGGGCAGGGAGGGGCGGTGGGGGTGGCTGCTGCCCCCCCACCCTGCGTCCTCCTTCTCTCCCCCAGGCCATCGTGAACAAACTGTGGCTTGGTTTTGACCTGGGAGCAGCCATTGCAGCCCCCATCCTGCATGTGAACGACAAGGGTCAGGTGGAATACGAGTCCAGATTCAGCCAGGTGAGGCTGAGGTCCGAGCCACCTCCAGGTGGGGCACCTCAGTGCATGCTGCTCACAGCCCCCATGGGTCTCAGCTCCAGAGCCAAGTGCACGTCAGTTCTGGGCACCCTGAATTGAGCGGCACTGCCGGGGAGGCACAAGGCCAGTCTCGTGGCCTCCAAGGTGGAGAGCAGGGTGGTGGTCAGGCTTCCCCCAGGCTGAGCACCTCAGCACCTTGACCCTGGCGCTGTCTGCACCTTTCCCTCCAGAAGCTAGTTTTCCGGGCAGTGGCCTCACAGACTCTTCCCCATGATGATCTGTTTCCTATGATTCGTACCTTGTACATGCAAGTTTATTTATAAAAGAATTGATTATTCCCAAGCAAGTCTGCAGAGGACTGAGGCATCGGGCTGCCCTCACCGCTGTTTCTCGGCCCCCTGCACGAGCGGGTCTGGGGGCTGATTCCCCCCCACCTGCACCCCCGGGGAAGCCTTCTCGAAGCTCCTCCGGGCTGGCAGATGCCCTTTGCTAGGACCTAATTCAAACACTGGCAGCTTTTCAAGGCTCCAGGCTTCATGCCCAGGGTCCGTTCAACCAGCCGGGGTTCAAGATCTTCAAAGCGGCCTTTCCTGTTAGGCGCCGCTCCTGCCCTCAGACCACCCCACTAACCACAGATGGAGAGGCCTGGAGCCCAAGGGGGTGGGTCAGCCCTGGGAAGCTCGGTCTTGGGGCCAGGAGACGGAGGGCCTCCACCCATCAGGCCCAAACTCTCAGAGTCCGAGGCCTTCGCTGCCCGGTCGGGGTTCTCCCCAAGGAAGTACGTCACGTGCTCCCTTAGGGGTCTTCTCAGGCTCTTCGCCTTGGCCTTGTCCTTACTCTGTGAACACAATTCTCCATGGACCTTGGACTCTAGGACCTTCCATGGAGAGATTCCTAGACCCTGGGTGGTGACTTTCACAAGAAGTCCCAGGGACCAAGGTCCAGAGAGCCACTGTTTCTCAGGGCCTTGGGGCTTGGCCAGGGGGCTGTGCAGAGCAGTCTTGGAGACCGCGGGCCCTGCTGGTTTCCTCGGGTTCGGGACAGAAATGAGTGCTCATCTCGCGTGCTTTCTGCGCTGGGTGATTCTTCTCCATCATGCTTCTCCTTTGGGGCCTTTTTATTTTAAAGACTTTATTTAATTTTAGAGAGAGGAGAAGGAGAGGGAGAGAAACATCAATGTGTGGTTGCCTCTCACAAGCCCCCACTGGGGACCTGGCCTGCAACCCAGGCATGCGCCCTGACTGGGAATCGAACCAGTAACCTTTCTGTTTGCAGTCCAGTGCTCAATCCACTGAGCCACAGCAGCCAGCACCTTCAGGGCCTTTAGAGTGGGAAACATAGACTCCCATCCTCACCCCCCACCCCATCCAGCCCTGTCTTCTCAGTCAGGGTTCTCAGGTTCCAGCCTGGGCCTTGTCCACCATGAAGACAGAACTGAGCTGCCCTCACCTATCAGCCGCCTTCTTTCCTCTCCAGGAGGTGCAGCGGGGGCTCCAGCTCCGGGGCCAGAGCGCGAGCAGCAGGCCCTTTTTCCTGAACGTGGTCCAGGCCGTGTCCCGGGATGGGGCCTGTGTGTACGCCGCCGCAGACCCGCGGAAGGAGGGGGAGGCCGCAGGCTACTGAGGAGGCTGCTCCTGAGAGTTGGCGTCTGGCTCAACGTCAGTGCGTGGCCCAGGCTGGCCACGGCCATGACTGTGAGACTGAGTGTTCCTCCAGGACCTGGGCCCCTCGGCTGGGGAGTCAGCCTTGGGTAGCCAGAGTTGGGGACACTGTGGACGGGGGCTGAGCCCTCCCTCAGAGCTTCTGGTGGCCCTGCCCTGGCCCTGCCGGCCTTCCCCAGGCCTCTCCCCCAGGCCCTGGCCCACCCTCCCCCTGCCCCCACTGCCCAGCTGTATATCTTCCCGTTCAAGATTAAAGAAGAGGCCGACCACAGCCTCATTCAGGGTTGAGGTGAGGGAGGGGCCTTCAGAAAGCATCACACTGGTTCCTATAACCCTTTCCGATTAACCATAGTAGAACAGGGCAGCTGCAGCCCAGAGGCAGCTGGGCCCATCCAGGCCACCCTTGGATAGAAGCAGCACCCCCATCACTTGCTGGGGCTCCAAAATGTGGCTGCTGGGGGCCACTTACTGGGGAAAAGGCAAGGGTGTGGCCCGGGGGCCCTTGGCCAAGGCCTGTCTCTGAGCCCTGCCTCGCGTGCCAGGAGAGTGTTGGGTGCAGCAAGACCTAAGAGCCTGGCCCAACAGCCCATGGTCTCCCCCTGGGCACTGCTGACACTTTGGGTGACGCATTCTTTGCCGCAGGGGCTGTCCCCACATTGTGGGGTGTGGGGCAGCATCCCTGGCCTCTACCCCCTAGATGCAGCAGCAGCACCCCGTCCCCAACAGCGAGCCACCAAATCGCCCCGATTGAGAACCGCTGCTCCAAATGAGCCCCCAAATTCTGTGAACAGCGCTGCCTGCTGGCAGGTGGGCCACCCTCACATTGGGGGGATCCTCGCTGGACTGACTGGACCCCACACTAGTTCCTGAGGGCACTTGGGCTTCCCTTGTCACCCCAAACACCCCTTGGGGGCGCGGCTCTACCTGGCAGGGCGGAGCAGCGTCACCTCTGAGTCCTCACTTCCCACTCTGTCCTGGAGTCGGGCCAGCAGGATGGGGGCGCGTGTTCGCTCTCTGTGCCTGCAGAGACAGGAGCCCACAAACGGAGCGCCTCCAAACAGCAGGAATCTGTTCTCTCCCGGGCTGGGGGTCCGAAATCAGTCTCACTGGGCAGAAGTCAAGGTGTGGGTGGGGCCGCGCTCCCCCAGGGCTCTGGGGAGACTCCTTCGGCCTCTTCCAGCTACTGGAGGCTGCTGGTGTTCCCGGACCTGTGGCTGTGTCTCTCCATCCTCCCTTCTGTGTGTGTGGAATCTCCTCCTGCTCTGGGCCAGTCTAGGTGGGGAAGGCACCTTCGGAAAGTATAAGGACACTGAAGGACAGACAGGGCCCCCACAGAGAGGTCAGGATGATCTCCCCGTCTCACAGCCTTAACTCAGTCACAAAGTCGCTTTGCCGTACGAGGCAACCTTCATAGCCTCCATGCATCGGGACGGGGACAGACTTGAGGACTGCTACTTAGCTGGCCACATGGGTGGCGAGCGGTCGACATCCCTGGTCCTGGCTTGACTGGGAGGGAAGAGGCAGTAATCTGGCAGGTTTGGGAGAAAGGTCGGGGACCACAGCACACTCTGGGATGCACTGAGGCCACCTGGAAGCCACCAACCCCTCCCTGGGTCCAGCTTTGGGAGGCCATTCGGGGAGCAGACTTTGTGCAAGGGCAAGTCTGGGTCAGGGGTCAGGGGAGGCAGAAGAGGTGGGCTTAGACAGAAGCAGAGCAGAGGGGCTTCATCCCTGGGGCTGTCACCCACCTGGAGGCTCAATCACCACTTGTGAGAGCCTGGGAAACCTGACCCAGGCTCTGGAGCTTCAGGCCACATGCCCACTCTACCTCCTTCAGAGCACGTGGGCCCACAGGGAGCTCAGACTTGAAACACCAAACCAGGAAGCCAGTCCTAAGGCAGCAAGAAGCTCTCTGGTGTCGGCCACTCCGCCTTCCCAGATTACTCTCTGCTCTCCCTCCAGCCACATGGCTCGGCCCTGGGTCCCTCTCTGCCTTCTCGCCACTGCCGCCATCTTGTTCCATTCCACACTCATGACAATGACGAGTCTTGGACAAACACACCTGCCCCAGCCACAGGCAGCCCAGAGCCCTGGGTCCCTGCAGCCCTGGGAAGAAGCCCACTTCTCTCCCTCCCTGCTCGTCCTGCCCCAGGGGACTTGTCCAGCCCCTGCCCACACCCCAGCTGGACCCCCCCGGCAAGGTATTCCCAGCCCAGCCAGCCATCCCAACACCGGCTCTCCAAACCTATCACACAGAGGGAATCAAAACCGAGACTGTAAAAAGAATGCAGAGACTTCCGCCAAGATGGAGGCATAGGTGGATGTGCCGTGCCTTCTCACACAACCAAGATTAAACTAAATATTAGCAACAGAAAACACAGCCAGAACACAGAAAATTGAACTTTTCAGAAGTCCGTTAACAACAAATTCTTCAGCCTGACCGGTAAGGGGCGAAACCAGCGGCTGGCGGAGCAGGGTTGCACAGGAGGACTCGGCCAGACACACTCAGGCCCGCGGAATCCAGGCGCAGGGTCAGACCTAGTGAGCGACCCAGCGAGCAACCAGGCGAGCGACCGCGGGGAGACAGCCGGGCCCGGGGCTGTGTGTTGACTGAGGTTGCGCATTTGTGCGAGGGTGGACAGGCGAGGGAGTGGGCGGTTGGACCAGGCCGGCAGGTCCCCACGGCAAGCGGCAGTGGAGGGCGCTGCCATTTCCCTGCTCTGACCCCACCTCCACATACAGCGTCATAACCCAGCGACTCTGAGCGGCCTGCCCAGGTGAACCACCTAAGGCACTGCTCCTCCACACCCAGCTGTGAGAAGCTGCAGAGGGGGTCGCCATTTCCCCGCTCGGGCCACGCCCCCACATACAGCGTCACAACCCAGCGACCTGGGAATCCAAGGCGCCGCTTCTTAAAGGGCCCGAACAGACCAAGAATGGCGCAGGAGGATCTCAGAGCCCCAGAGCCAATAAATCTAAGCGATGAAGAAATAGCAAAACTCACAGACGCACAGTTTAAAACATTGGTGATCAGGATCCTCACAGAACTGGTTGATTATACCGACAAATTAGACAAATATATGAAGGCGAAACTAATTGAAATGAATGGAATTGCACAGGACACCAATAGCAATGAAAAGGAAACTGGGACTCAAATCAATGGAGTGGACCAGAAGAAAGCAAATAATGGCCAAACAGAAAAGAGTCAAGAAGAAAGAATTCAAAGAAATGAGGAGAGTCTTAGGAACCTCCAGGACATCTTGAAACGCTCCAATATCCGAATTATAGGGGTACCAGAAGGGGGAAAGGCACAGCCACCAGTGGAAAACTTATTTGAACAAATAATAAAGGAGAATTTCCCCAATCTGGCAAAGGAAATAGACTTCCAGGAAATCCAGGAAGCTCAGAGAGTACCAAAGAAGTTGGACCCAAGAAGGAACACACCAAGGCACATCGTAATTACATTAGCCAAGATTAAAATGAAGGAGAGAATCCTAGAAGCAGCAAGAGCTAAGGGGACAGTCACCTACAAAGGAGTTCCCATCAGACTGTCAGCAGATTTCTCAAAAGAGACCTTACAGGCAAGAAGGGGCTGGAAAGAGGTATTCCAAGTCATGAAATCTAAAGACCTACAACCAAGATTGCTCTATCCAGCAAAACTTTCATTTAGAATGGAAGGACAGATAAGGTGCTTCTCAGATAAGATCAAATTCAAGGAGTTCATCATCACCAAGCCCTTATTATATGAAATGTTAAAGGGACTTATCTAAGAAAAAGAAGTTAAAGAAACATGAACAGTGAAAGGACAACAAACTCACAGTTATTAACAACCACACCTAAAACGAAAGCAAACTAAAAGGACAGCTGGGTCAGGAGTGGAAACATAGAAATGAAGATCTCAAGGAGGGTTAGCAACAGGGGAGTGGGAGGAGGAGAAGGGGGGAGAAGGTACAGAAAATAAGTAGCATAGACAGTAGATAGAAAATAGATGGGGGGGGGGCAAGAATAGCATGGGAAATATAGAATCTAAAGGACTTGAGACACATGGTCATAAACTAAAGGGGGGGGTGATGGTGGGGATGGGGGGTAGGGTGGAGGGGAATAAAGGGGGAATAGAACAACTGTAACAGCATAATCAATAAAAAAAAACAACCCGAGACTGTGGCATTTTCAAAACAACATGGATGTCAGCACAGATCAGCTCCCACGGGGTGCAGCTGAAGCAGGCAGGGGTCATGGAAAAATGTATTGCCTTAAATGGTTAGATTAATAGGAATCAAAATAAATAAAGCAACTAATTTAAGAAGTTAGTAAAGGAGAAATCAGAACAAGCAGGAAAGCAATAGGAAGGACATAGTAAAATTTGAAGGAGAAAGGGATACAATGGAACCCAGAAACAACAGGTCTTTGGAAAAAATTTGGCAAGTTATTTAGCTAGCCAGTCAGGAAGACGGAGGAAGTGTGAATGCACAAAAGAAGAAATGAAAATGGGAAAACAACCTAAGATATAGAGGAAGTTAAAATTATTAGCTCCCTTGCCTAAGACAACAAAGTTTTAGTAACAAAAATGCAGAAAAACACAGAAAATTGAACTGTAGTGAAGTCTGACAACAACGAACCGTTCATCCAGACCGGTAAGAGGGGCAGAGTCAGCAGCAGAGCAGGGTCAGGCAGGAAAGATCAGCTGGACCTCGACCCAGGAGCGGAGGAGCGCAGGTGGTGGTTGGCGAATCCCAGGTCTGGGGTGGCAACGGGCAGACCCAGTGAGGGCACAAGGCAGCTGGCTGACCGCGGTCACACATTCGTGCGCAGATAAACCAGGCAAAGGAGCAAGCAGTGAGACAGACCACTCAGGCCAGGGCCCCAGTGACTGGAACAGGGTTGAGGTGCCAGGAGAAGCTCTCAGGCTCACAGAGAGTTCGTTGGAGAGACCCACAGGGTCCTGCAGGGTGCACAAGCCCACCCACCTGGGAACCAGCACCAGATTTGCTTGTGGGAAGTGGCAGAGGGGACAGAAATCTGAGAGAGAGCAGAAATAATGCCATTGCCCCTCTTTCACCCTGCCCTCACATACAGTGTCACAACCCAGTGACCTGGGTTGCCCCACCCTGGTGAACACCTAAGGCTCCGCCCCTCATACATAACAGGTGCGAACAGATCAAAACATTATGGCTCAAGAACAGCTCAGAGCTCCAGAGCCAATAAATCTAAGCGACCAAGAGATAGCCAACCTATCAGATTCAAAGCACAGTTCAAAACACTGGTGATCAGGATGCTCACAGATTGGTTGATTTTAGTCGCAAATTAGAAGAACAAATGAAGGCTAAACTAATTGAAATACAGGGAAATGCACAGGAAACCAATAGTAATGAAAAGGAATCTGGGACTCAGATCAATGGAGTGGACCAGAAGGAAGAAAAAAAATGACCAAACAGAAAAGAATAAAGAAACAAGTATTCAAAAAAATGAGGAGAGGCTTAGGAACCTCCAGGACATCTTTAAGCGTTCCAACATCCGAATTATAGGGGTACCAGAAGGAGAAGAGGAACAGCAACAAGTAGAAAAGTTATTTGAACAAATAATAAAGGAGAACTTTCCCAAGCTGGCAAAGGAAATAGACTTCCAGGAAGCTCAGAGAGTCCCAAAGAAGTTGGACCCAAGGAGGAACACACCAAGGCACATCATCATTACATTAGCCAAGATTAAAATGAAGGAGAGAATTCTAGAAGCAGTCAGAGATAAGGGGACAGTCACCTACAAAGGAGTTCCCATCAGACTCTCAGCTGATTTCTCAAAAGAGACCTTCCAGACAAGAAGGGGCTGGAAAGAGGTATTCCAAGTCATGAAATCCAAAGACCTACAACCAAGATTGCTCTATCCAGCAAAGCTTTCATTTAGAATGGAAGGACAGATAAAGTGCTTCTCAGATAAGATCAAGTTCAAGGAGTTCATCATCACCAAGCCCTTATTATATGAAATGTTAAAGGGGCTTATCTAAGAACAAGAAGATAAAAAATATGAACAGTGAAAGGACAACAAACTCACAGTGATTAACAACCACACCTAAAACAAAAGCAAACTAAGAGGACAGCTAGATCAGGAGCAAACCATAGAAATGAAGATCACCTGGAGGGTTAGCAACAGGGGAGTGGGAGGAGGAGAAGGGGGGAGAAGGTACAGAGAATAAGTAGCATAGATGGTAGGTAGAGGGTAGATGGGGGGAGGGCAAGAATAGCATGGGAAATATAGAATCTAAAGAACTTGTGACACATGGTCATAAACTAAAGGGAGGGAAGGGTGGGGGAGAGTGTGCAGGGTGGAGGGGAATGAAGGGGGGGAAATGGGACAACTTTGATGGCATAATCAATAAAATATATTTTAAAAAAGAATACAAATTATTATAAAAGATCACTAACCTTTGTTCAAATACATTCGGAAATGTCCACAAAATATATTGCTTTTTAAGACAATATAATTGTAGTACTTGGGGCATACTTATACTAAGAACATTGTTGTTTTCTGAAACTAATTGGGCATCTTATATTTTTGTTTGCTGAATCTGGCAACATTGAGTATAAATGACATGCAGACCCAAGAAGGGGCAAAGATCAAGACACGTCAATGGCCATTTAAAAAATTGAGGACATTGGCCTGGCTGGGCGGCTCGGTTGGTTGGAGCATTGTCTTGCGCACCAGAAGTTTGCGGGTTTGTTTCCGGTTGGGACGCGTGCCTGTGTTGTGGGTTCAGTCCCCGGTTGGGGAGCATATGAGAGGCAGCTGATGAACTCTCTCACACCAATGTCTCTCTCTCTCTCTCTCTCTCTCTCTGTCTTTCTCCCCCCTCCCTTCCTTTCTTTCTGAAATCAATAAACTTATCCTCGGGTGAGAAATTAAAAAAAAAAATGTAGGGCATTGTGGGGACACTAGCCTACCTGCAGTGCACCTTTAGAAAGTTCCACAGGTGAAGTTTGTCCTGCTACGAGGACCAGAGACCTCCCCTGCCAGTTGAGCTCTCGCAGTGGAGGGAAGACGATGCCCACGTTCGCCTCGTGAAACCGGAGCAGCACTGACCACAGGCCTGGCGAAGCCAAACACGGGCCACTCGTGCCTGTGAAGCTCACCAAAGGAGCCCCAATAAACCACCCGGCGCCGCGTTAAACTGAACAGGCGCCTCCGCTGCAGGGGAGACTCCCAGGCTCTGTAGGAAGGGGAAGGGTCACAGGGTGGTCTCCATAGAGACGGAAGACACATTTGACAAAAACCAAACAACCATACAAAGAACCCAGACCAAAAAAAAAAAAAAGCCCACAACACTACTCCCCTAAATGTGTTAACCTGATAAAAGGTTAACAGGCCCAGGTGAGAGGCAACACGGGATCCGAAAGCAAACCGCAGTCCGGGGGCACCGACCCAGGCAGAAACCGGCGCAGTTAGGAGGCGAAGGCGGCCGGGTGTGGGTGGGGAAGGAGGGGAACAGTTTCGTGCCTGCTTTCTTGTCATTAGGAACAGATGGTTGGGATACAAAGCCCAGGCCAAGGGTTATTTTGTCCAGTGTTAACATCCGAAGTTTGAGCGTAAGCAGCGCTAGGCAGCCCCTCCGGGACTGCAGCGCCGACCCCGTTTTAAAGCGGCTCCGCATGCATGACTTCCTACCCGTGAACGTCTGTCTCAAGACAATAACAAGGTCGCTGTAACAACAGCGTGGCGCAGACCGTGGGCTGGGGGCTGCTCTACTGCTTTGCACGTGTTCATTTATACAATTCTCCCTAGTGGAGGAGAGCTGTAGTCATTCCTGTTCTACAGACGCCAGTACTGAAGTACTAGTGCTTCAGGACCCTCGCAGAGGAAACGCCAAAGGTGGACACAGGGTGGACGGGCGGGGAAACTGGACTTGGCCCTCCACCACAGCACACGTGCGCACAAATGAACGCGAGGCGCACCTGGGGCGGAATGGAAAAGTTGAAATAGCTGCCGCACAATTGCTCCAGCATCATTCATGACAGAGGCCTCCATTTCTCATCAAATTACATCGGTTCCTTTGTAAGAAAAAAACCCAGCTGAACGCATCGATCACATTGTAGACACATGATAAGGGTACAGCAGCTCAAACTGCTCCGGGTTGGGGCGCAGACCGACCACCACCAGTGAAGAGACGCAAGCGAGCACGTGGTCTCGGCTAAAGGACGTACTGCACCAGGGGGGAGAATGA